TCCTTATGGTCAGTCATGCAGGCCATGTTCCACCTTGTGTTTAATGAGAGCAATTACACCACACCTTAAATTCCCTTTTATACAAGCACTGCCTCAACTTTTTTTAAATATGTAGTTTAGCTCAACATTCTCTCTAAATGTTGCTTTTTGATTGTTTATTTCAAGAGAATTCACTGCACAGAGCATTCTCTGTGGCTATGGACCCACTACGATGTTTCCACACTTGCAAAAAGAGTTGAGTTGCATTATGCATCATCCATTGCGTGCCAATGTTTATGTAGTCAGTTGTGTAGCACAAAAACTTGGTTGATGTGCTTTACTCTTGTGAGTATTTCAACATCGACAGAAATAAGGGTTTGGTTTTATTTCCAAACAGTTGAGAATTACTAAAGTACTCCAACCTAATAAAAAAGGAAAAAAATACTTCAGCCATGCTGTCTTTATTGATAGCAATTAAAGCTACCTTGTAATGAACGTGATTAGGACCCAGAAGCAACCAGACGCGTACGGTCAGTTCAACAAGATTTATTAGCGGACAGGGGCTCGGCAGAGGCGTGGTCAGTACAGTCCAGGTCGATAACGGGTGGTCCAGACAGCGAAGATAATCCAACTCGTGGTCAGGGGCTGGTCGAGGGTCAAAGCCAGGGGAGCAATCCAGGGAGCAGGTGGGAGCACGAAGTCAGGCAGGCGAGGTCATACACGGGCAGGCAGTCAGGATCAGGCAAAGGTACAGGCGAGGGACAGGCAGGCTCAGGAGTCGAACGGACGGATCAGGCGGGGGTCAGGCAGGCTTGGAAAACAGGCAGACGGAAGGCAGGTTGAAGATCAGGTAGACAGGATAATATAATGCTGGAAGTGCTCACTCTACGGCTCGATACATTCTGGCCAAGAGTTCAGGTGAGTACGGGGAATATATGGAGGTGGGAACAGGTGAGCGTGATGAGCGCTGATTGCGGGGTGAGTGGCTGGGCAGGTGTGTAGGTGGGGGTGGAGCCAGCTCCAGAGCCGGGACGTAACATACCTAGAATCAAACAATTAAGTTCATATCTGCCCTAAAAAAACATATTTAAGACATGACTGAAGAACTTGAGACAAAGTTGTTAAATTTATATTCAAGTGGTTGAAGATAATCTTCTCATGGTTGTGACAACTATTTTCTACACATCCCTCTATATCAAAAGTCAAATGATTGGGAGTTGGATTCAAACAGTTACTGAATCAATCGATAAATTGTGATTGTTGTTTGTGGACCATCTCCTTTCAGGTTGACCATTTGTGAGGAGCAACCTCTTTGTAGACCTTTTCTATCACTGTATCACCTGTCGTATCTCCTATTTTAGGGAGATAATAATTCAGCGTGGACCAACTGTGTCTTGACGTTAACCATACTTTATTGAACTTCCCTCAGACGTAACACGTCCAACCCCGTGATCCCACACACACAATCCTATTGGTCTACTATACTTTCTGTAACGTAACTTGCGTAAAGCATTAACCCTTAATGCACACTATTCAGATACACCACATCACCAACACTTCTGTAACAGACATATGGCACACAAGAAAAAGCCTAAAGACAAGATTTATTTGTGCTTCTCAAAAATATAAGAATTTCACAATCTCTTGTGACAAAATCACATGAGATAAAGACCTCTCACGCATGGAGAAAGAAGGAGTATTCATTTAAACTGCAATCATACTCATGTAACAGAATAGTTGGAAACGATTCTTTAAAAAATGTAGCCGAAAACTACAGAAGTCAGCTCAGGCGTTGCCTCCTCTCACACTGACTTGATCATCATTCTGCTGGCCTTAGCAGAGTACGGAGCGGGACCTTTCCAGGTGAGCCAGTGGAGGCCGGAAGCCCAACCAATGTGGTCACCATATGCGTGCCAGTTTCCATTCAGACCGGCCGAGCCACATTTGCTGTACCACCAGCCACCTCCGTAGGAGGGGGCGCACTGATTTATAGGAATGTCTCCAAACATGCACGGGTTGCAGCCATCGTTGTCGAGGTCAAAGGTGCTGAAGCCAAAGCCATTTTGGTCGATGCCAGGATAGGCACCCCGGATGGCGTCGCCTTTGGACAGAGTCGGAATTATTTTTAACAAGTTTAGGCGTTCAGAAGGTTACCATAAGATATAAAAAGAGACTCCTTTTGTTGCCAGGTGTGCTAAGAGCAGATGTGGGAAGCCCCAATGATAAAGCATCCCTGATGTGTATTCGTGTTTTGTATATAAAGGCTTCAAGCTTTGTTTGAACCAAACAAATCATTGAGGGAATTTTGCAACTTTTTAAAACCTTTTTCACTGCCTACCTGCGTTTCCACTGTACGTTCCAACATACAGTTTGTAGGCTGTTGACTCGTGTCCCAGTCGGAAGTTCCTGTACTCAGCGAAAGCAGTGCCGCCTTCGTGATCCCACAGATCCACCCTCAAGGTCCAGCTCTTAGAAGTGTCCTTTGTTATGGAGTAAAGATTCTGCAGACCGAGCCAGTGGTCATCTGCGGAAATCAGAGGGCACAACGACTGACATTTTTCGGCTTTCTTATCACCACCTTTCATCATCTGCATCAAGCAAGAAAAACTAACAAACTCATCATTGAATTAAAGCAGGTAATCCACTTTTTCTGGAATTTAAAAAAGCTACAAAACTGACAAAAATATACATTTGTCCATATTGTAATCTGCCTGGGATTAAACAGACACAAGACAGAAAAAGCATTATGGGCATACTTGTCAGGTATCCAAAGCCACTTTTATATGAAGCCCATATTCTGTCGAAGGACACTGCCCATCCAGTACGTTTCTGAAACACCGTCCAGCCTCCATCTGGACGCATCTCGCAGTACACCTGAGCAGGAAGTCAGGTCAATACAAACAACACGTGTCAGGATTTTTTTCTTTTTCATTCTTACTTTTCTTAGAAAAGCAAACATTTTGAAAGATTGTTTTTGGCAAAATGTGTTCGAATTGCAGACATTATGGAACTAAAAAGGAAAACAAATAATTTCAATTAAAAGAATGTATAAACTATTAAAAATAGATGTTAATGTATCAATTGAAAAAATTAACAATAGGATGTTTTTTTATTGTTTTAAAACCATCCAATCTTAACATAGATGGGTACTAACAAAATGCAATTATCTTCATGTACTTTTAAAGCAGAAACACAGATTAGTATGTTCATACTGGCAGATAATTATTTAAAATGGATTCTCTTAATGACTAGCTCTTGATTTGGTATCATGACTTTGTAAAAAAAACAAAGAAATTATGTACCAGTTATGGAAAGATTCCAATATATTGGCAAAGATGTTACAAAATGAACTTTGAGCACTTTCAGTTCACACAATAATTTAAAAAGTATTCAATCCCTATAGATCTCACGACTAACTCAATGTGCATAACACTCCTGTGATACTACTTTCAGGTGTAAATAATTTCTCTGAGATTTGCACATTCTCAGTTATGAACAGAAATAGCTGTGAATATAAAGATTTCATACCGCAATAGAACCTGGGGCACCAACTGGTTGGATTTCATAAACTCCACTGGCTGCCTGTGGTGAGCGAGTCTTAATGTCCGAGCAGTCTGTTCCTGTGTGTGAAATGACCAGAGACAAGGTTGACCACGAATATCAAATACAAAATCATTTCATTCCCTGATAAGAAACAATATTATGCATCTTACCTTCAACACTGCGCACTTTTCTTTTACCCTGGCAATGACAGAAAGCAGTTTTGATATAAAGCTTGTTTTGCATGAATGAAAATTTCCATTGTTCTTGTTTAAGATATTTAATTTCTATATTTACCTCAGCCTGTCCTGAGAAAGTCAAAAGGAGGGCCAATACAAGCCCACAAAAGCCAAGCAGACCCTTCATTTTCACCTGAAAGTGGATAACAATACAGAGTCCAAAATATTTGAACCATTTTTGAGAAATAATGGTCAGAGCTTTTGCACTCAAATACCTAAAAGGTAAAAAATGATTCGTTATGGTCAACAGTCTTTCTGTATAGAAGTACCTACCAGTTGGATGTATCCCAGCTCTAACTCCTGAACAGACGCGGCAGCTTTTAAACCCTCCGTCTTAAGGTACCACACCTCATTCCATTTTGTGATGATTGGCATTTTTGCCCAAAAGCACTGCTAATGCACATTTTTACGTCATCCTCAATGGGTTTGACCTGTTTCTGACTGACCAAAACAAGAAAGACAGGCCATGTTGTTTGTTTGTCCTTTGTTTGGGGTCTGTCCGCATTGTTAAAACCTGCTCAAGCAGATTTACGGAAACCGTCACCTGATAAGAAGAGGGCCCCGGGTGTAGAGACAGAATACGCAAAAATGGGAAACGAGATAGTTTTTTGTTGCAAAAAATTAAACAAAAAGGCTCGACCAGGCCAGTTTACCAAAAACCTTAATGCGAAGAAACCAAAATACTATTGAGAAAAGACAAACAAGAGAAACCAAAAGAGGAAGGCAACAGACAGGTTAATTCACCAAAAATATAAAAACCTCAAATTTGAATTTGACCAAGTTGTTTAATTTCATATTTAAGTGGTTGAAGATAATCTTGTCAAAATTGTGACAAAAATGTTATAAATGTACATATAATTTAATATCACAAGTCAGCAAATTAAAAGCAAAAGACTCCAGCTTCCAAGACAGTTCAGATACTTACAGACTTTAACTCAAGTAACATTTCAGTCAGTGACTTGGACTTTTACCATATTTTGGAGAGATACCTATACTTTTACTTAACTCTGAGATTCCAGTACTTTATGCAACACTGCTCCTCTGTCATATCTCATGGATGTACAAAGATGAAATCTAAATTTAAATCGCAAACCGGAATGAAAGCACAAAACACACACAAGGATGTTCGTTTTTTTTATTGCCTGTTTTTCATTTTTATCTGACAGAAGATTTAGAAATAGGTAATATGGAGAGGTATGCCAGAGCTATGAAACAAAGACACAATGCTCAGGCTTTGACTCCTCTCACACTGACTTGATCATCATTCTGCTGGCCTTAGCAGAGTACAGTGCAGGACCTTTCCAGGTGAGCCAGTGGACGCCGGAAGCCCAACCAAGGTGGTTACCAGACGGGTGCCAGTCTCCGTTCAGACTGGCCGAGCCACATTTGCTGTACCACCAGCCACCTCCCTCGGAGAAGGCGCAGTTTTTTTGAGCAATGTCTCCAAAGAGGCACGGGTTGCAGCCATCGTTGTCTCGGTCAAAGGTGCTGAAGCCAAAGCCATTTTGGTCCAGGCCACGATAAGCACCCCGTATGGCGTCGCCTTTGGAAAAAGGTAAAAACATTTTAAAGAAAACTTGAAAAAATAAACTGCATTAGAACATTAGTGTTGATGGTCCAGAGCAAACATCATACACGTCAGTCTGTAAGATCAGTGAACAATAAAATTCTCAAATTAGCAAAAACAATCAAGGCTTTAGACCTTGATTTATGTCTTCTTGTTTGACTGAAAGCGTTTTACACAGATGCACAAAAGTCCCACAGCTAAAGCCACTTTACCTGCGTTGCCACGGTATTGTCCAACCTGAAGTTTGAAAGCCGTTTTCTCATCTCCCAGCCTAAAGTTCTTGTACTCAGCTAAAGCAGTGCCGCCTGCATGATCCCAGAGGTCCACTCTCAAGGTCCAGTTCTTGGTTGTTTTCCTTGTCAGGGCGAAAACCTTATTCAGGCCGAGCCAGTGGTCCTCTTATGGGATATGCAACACATAAAGAACAGAAGATTTACATTTTTCTGGTGTCTTTTCGTGACAATCAACAGATGTGAAAACTACCTTTGTTCTCAGCAAAGAATATATTGTTGATTATCATTGCCAACATTTTTTATTCAGTCCAGGTTTGTACATACCATTTATATTTCCAAAACCATTTTTGTAGGCATTCCATTGTCTTCTGAAGGACACTCCCCCTCCACTGCGTCTCTGAAACACTGTCCAGCCTCCATCTGGACGCATCTCACAGTACACCTGAGCAGGAGGTCCAGCACACAAAATGTATGTGTACAAATATATATGAAGGAAAAAGTTCTCTATTTCCTTAAATGATTATTGACAAACTGTTTTAACACACTAGTACATGTATTACCATCATTTTTTAGGTCGCACTTCCCTAGATTGTTTAGTCAAAAAGAGCTTTGTTTGCTAGTTTTGCAAAGGCTGAATTATCTCGATGAAGGAAGCACCTTGTGTGGTGAGACATTTTTGTAATGTAAAGGTTGTACCAAACCCACCCTGGATGGCTTAGTCATTGGAATTGAAATGAGAGGGAAGTAACCCATCTGGGAAGGGTTACTGCACAGCTGAAAGAAAATGCTAGACAACAGCAGACTATGGGCCGTAACAGTTATTTGATACTGTAAACAAACAATTGTTAACATGCTTTGACCCAATTATTTCATTCTTCCACTTAGTAAAATGCTCTGCCAGACCATGGCAAATAGATAATACTTCAAATTCCCACCCAACCTTTGGTTAGATGTTAGCTATGGATAACAAGCTGGATACCTTGAATGGGAATTTCATAGGTTGGATCACATAAACCCCGCTGCGTGCATTTGGTGAAAGAGCCTTGATCTGTGTGCAGTCTGTTCCTGAAAAGAGACAAATTTGACCAGCGAAAATAAATGTAGCATCTTCATACGTTATCATAAATGAGCAGAATAGAACACTCCCTACCTGAGGGTGAGAGGATTTTCTTCCAAATCTGGAAGTAAAACACAAATACGTATGAGAGTCTGAGTAGTGTTTCACCTGAGGCTTCAACTTGTGTAAAAATACAGCCAAAATTGAGAATTTACTGGCTCTGAAGTCTCCTCTGAGAGGTGTAAGAGAAGTGCCAACATGAGAGCATGATAGCCAAACTGACCCTTCATTTCGAGCTGAGGAAAAAGAAATAAGACAGTGAACATTTAATGAAAACTTGTAAACTCAACCTAAAGTTTAAAAGGATTTAAGACAAAAAAGGAGGGAATAGATTCAATTCCCTTCTTCATAAGGCTACCCACTTGAAAAACGTACCAACTTGCTGGACGATCCTTGAATCCGAAAGCACCAACTTCAACTTGCTGGACGTTCCGAGAGTGCAAACTCCAATGCAGAAGCAGCCCCTTTTCTACAAAGATTGAACCATCACCCCTCCTTCCTAATTGTGATCATTTCCGTCACTTCCTGCCAGGTCAGATAAGAGGAGAAAAGTTTGTGCAACATATAAACAGTGACTTTTACAATTCCATCCTAAATCACATATTACAATTACTGCTGGGGAGCACTATACATGTCAATTTCTCAAACTTTATCCATTTGGCTACTCCAACCATGTAACCATGTCTGATCCCAACAAGATGGAAAAACATGATTGGAAAAGATGAACACAGCCAGTTCAGCACTGTGTTACAGGTTCGATAAAGTGCTCCTAACCCTAAAAGCCATAGATTTCTCAGAATCAAACAGAGAAACTGAGAATGCTTGGAAGTTAAATTGATGTACATATAGCTAACTATACCTATGGTAAGAAAAAAGGGCCACACTATACTGGCATAACTTAGCTGCATTTTATTCACATAGAAAAAAAGTACTAAATGATATGCTATCACAGTTAAAATGATTTATGCAATTTGGTGAGGCTTTCTTCTGAGGATTAGGTTGAGATCATCTAGCGTCCTGCAAACAGGGACACAGGAGTAGTTTTTTATTTTGCAGCATTTCACATGGATTCACCTGGAATGCATACATTTTAAAAAACGACTAAGGTAGTGTCCATCACTTCTTTGGGTTTAATAGCATTTTTGACTGCTCTAAGTATCCATGAGGATCATAACAAACTGTTTACAAATGTTCAATATATGATTGTCCATTTTATTCCATATTAGTTACATATGATTTGAGAGTCAGTAGCTGTTCTTGTGAACATGGACATTATAAAAATCCATCCATCCAAAAGTCCATGAATGACCCCAGGAGGGTGCATGTGGGTTCAAATCCCATTGTTATTTTGTCTTGACCAATGTAACAGCAGTTACAGTTCTCAC